AAAAAAAAAAAAAAAAACGTGGACGAAGATAGCTGAAAATCCACAGGCTTACAGGCGACACATGCTGTGACATACACGTCAGCATCCCGCAGGGTTACACGTGGAAGACACGTGGTCCATCATTTCAGCATCCCGCAGGGTTGCATGGGGAAGACACGTGATCTCACGGACCCGCGGTCCGAAACACAAGTCAGCAGGGAGATCGTGGTTAGACACGTGGACAACGTATGAAATGACGATACTTGCTGCGACAAACACGTCAGCATCGACACAGCGGGTTACACGTGGCAGACACGTGGCCTCACGGACAAGTGGTTTGACAAACGGGTCAGCAGAGACGTCCTTGTTAAACACGTCGACAACGTAAGAACGGACGAATGGGTCCGCAGACGGAGAGCCGCGGGCCGGGCTTCACTACGGAATGAAATAGTTTGTTTTCTTTTTAAATAAAAGCTATATTCTTCTAAATGAAAGCTTTTGAATGCACTGACCGTTTCTTAATTAAAGAACGGTCGCACTCGTAATGAATGGGCCTCGCTCCACTTTACTCACTTAATGGTACAAAATGAGAATGAACCTTCCCCTAGAACATGGAAAGATACACGGTCATATATTTCGTGTTTTGTGCATGTGGTGAGTATATTTCGTGTTTTGTGCATGTGGTGAGTAGCTGAGCAAGGCCCAACATTTGCTTTATAACGAATAAATGTAGCTGAATAGTATACACAAAAAAAAAAAAAAAAAAAAAAAAAAGCATAGTATACACACACACTGGTCGGTAGTGGGGTAGAATTAGGGCGAGATCCCACTGGCAAAAACGATTGGCATAGGTGTCTGAGTCTGCACGTGTTTGCGGAGAGGTGCAAAAAACTGCAATTGATCTGCTTTTCTGCATCTCTGCGTGGAACATGTCCCGATTCAGACACTTATTCCAAACCTCTTTGCCAGTGGGATCTGGCCCTTGGCCAGTGTACAACAGTCCGTAGTGGGGTACAATTAGCAACAGGGGTGCGGGTTGAAGCCTCCGAGCTGCTGGGCGGAGAAGGGCCCGCAGGCAATGCGTGTAAGCTAAGGGTCTCATCCCACACTACATACGGTATGTAGTTCTATGGAATTTTCGAGATCCCACAGTGCTCCGGGGTAGTAGGCGGCATCGTCGACTTCGGAGGTGAGTGGAAACGTTTGTTGTCGTGGCGGTCTGGGAGTGATCGGTGGCGAAAAAGTAGTACGGAAATGTGAGGAGTGCTGGACCCCTACCCGTCTGCTAAAAAGCTGGATCAGCTTTTTGTTATTGTTGTTTTGTTTTTTTTCCCGTCACTCCCTCCTTTCCTCCGTTTGAAACAGTTTTCACCTTTGGCAGTAGCCGATGCAGATCCCAGGGGTCG